AATAATGAACTCGAATATTATTTATCTGCAATTACTGGATTTTGCATTTTACCAATACATGATATTTCACTTTCAATGATATCTCCTACCTGAAAACATGTTAAAAAAATATTATTTTTATGAATGCAATACTTATTGTTACTTTAACATTATTTAAGATAAGTCATACTTTTAAGAATTCTTTTGGTTCTCGGAATACGCCCACTCCACTAGGTGTTCCAGTAAGAATAATGTCTCCTGGCAATAATGTGATCAAACTAAAAATGTTTTAGTATTTAGTTTTGATGACCAATGATATATTTTGTTTATTATATTGTTTAAATGTTCTCAATATTGATATTGCTAACACAATTTAATGAAGATATTTTATTTTTATTTTGATAACATTATTCAGATATCAATATCTAAAACACCTCAAAAATAGGTATGCTATTGATATTGTGTCAAAATATTACCGATATATATATGCTAATAATAGTGTTTAGTACACATTTAAATATTGAACAGCATTCAACACAATTTGTTAAATTCATCAACTAACTAATCATTAATGTATAGTTTAATTTAAAAACAGTAAAATAATTAGCTCGGCATAATCCAAGCTAATTTAAGCTTAACCATTGTTTAAATATTTGTATAATAAAATCACGTATGGTGTATCACATAAATAAGCACATGTTATATAATTTTATCCTGGTACCCGTGAAAAAAAGTAAAAATAAACAATAACAATGATAATATAATGTTATTTTGTTTTAGTAATGTTAGGTATTATTAGAAAATTGATTAAAGAGTACCTAGCTACACAAAAATAAATAAATATAATATATTTATAACAACAATTACCATATTATGTACTTACTTTGACAAAAACGAAACTAGTTTATCAACTCTGTGAATCAGTTCTTCAGTTGAACCACTTTGTTTCATGACACCGTTAATTGAACACTTTATTTGTAGTGAATGTGGATCAGGAATTTCATTTTTGTGTACCAAAACTGATCCCAATGGGCAAAATGTATCCATACTTTTTGCTATAAAATCAATTGAGGATTTAAAATTTGGTATACATTAGAACAACCTTACTATTATACCCAAAGCTGAGCAATTTAGTAATTTTTTTCAACTACAAAAATTAACTAAATTAGAATATAAATTAGTTTCTGAAATTTTCCATGTGTCTAACAAAGTTAGCTAGAAGTTAGTTTTTTTTAGTTTAAAATATAAATTTAAAAACCCATATTTTGTTCAAAATGTGTAAAGTATTAGATAAATTAATTACTCAGTATATAACTTAAATATTATTGTTAACGATAAAATATTTAATTGAACTAAAAATATGATCAAATGTTTCAGGTACCTAGAACTAATAATCTTGATTTCTTGGAAACAAATTGTAATCCAGTCATTAGAACACAGAATGTATAACCAAAAATAAAAATATACAAGCAGTATTTTTTTTAAATTTGTTATAATATGTATATCTTAAGACCATTATAATTTAAAGTGTGTTACAAGAAATATAACTATAATATAAATAATCAATAACAAAAATGTTTTTATGATTCAGTTGAAAATACTCAATGTTCATTACTAAGAAAATATGATCACAGCTATAGATACTAATAGTTGGCATTCAGCAGTTGTTCTATGAAATATTTGGATTTATGGAATGAAAAAAAACTACAAAAAAAACTAGTTACTTATTGTTTTTTAACTGGTGGGATTAGATTATTTTACACATTTAATTCAACTCATTAAGTAACAAAGTTATTATGAATTAAAATTCACTAGTTAAGTTGGAAACTTAAAAAGTAACTTTTAATTAGTTAGTGACCAATTTTGATTATTCCACAACACTAAAAATTTACCGATCAACCATTGTCCATTATTTCTAGTTTTCTGCCAATCTCTTGCTGATATATCTTGAGCAATAGTGTATCCAAATACATATTTATATGCATCATCAATATCTACATTCTTACATGTACTTCCAATGACTACAGCCATTTCTACTTCCCAATCTAGTGCCTGAAACATTAATAATCATTCAAATTGAAATCAAAGATAAATGTAATACACATGTAATAAAATTGGAAACTTTTACAGCTAGCTATTTACTTTTGATTTTGATGAATGCCTTACAGCATCATTTGGGCCAATAATTGTACTTGGGAATTTTGAAAAAAAAAATGGCTCTATGGGATATGGTTTCTTTTGTTCATCACAGTGTCCCTTATAATTCAATCCTACACATATTACCTAGAACACATTTTAATACATAGTTTATCAAATAATAACGAGTAGTATAGGTTCAATAATTGTTATTATTATAGAAATATTACTTTATCTGGTTTAGTAATACACGGTAGTAGTTCAACCTGATTAGACTGTAAAACTTTTTTTTTTTCTTTAATTATCCTTCAACATAACAACAAAGTAGATGATTAATGGTTATCTATAATTATATTCATTATTTATTTTACACAAACTTTTCGATTCTTTCAATTGAGTATTCACTGTGTAAAAATGATACCATGTCAACGGGAATAGTTGGATCTGCACCACTCAAGCTCACTATTGATTCACCGCCATTCAGCTGGATACCCAACCCACGATCACAACCGTCTCTGTATTGAACAAATCGCATTGCTTGGTGATTAGTGCAGCTAAAACTTCTGACATTGTTCTGTATTCCAATAGCGTTTTTTAGAAATCTACATGAAATACGGCTAAAACTCATATTGGTTTTTTTTATGAATTAAAAAATATATAAATATATTGTGCGATGTATAAACAAAAATTGTAGCAGTAAGTAATATTCACAAGTACCCAAGGTACCTAACTTGTTTTTTTTTTTTAATTTTCTAATGGAAAATATCGATATTAATTATTATTTAACTAAGTAATGTCCCGTCGTCGAAACTAATCGGACATCGGTAATAAATAATAGTATTTTCCGAATTTCGTGTTATCTAAATTATTATTTGGATGTCCTCCGCTGCTTATCACATTTAGATAGATAATTATATGACTGACATTGAACAACTTACATGTTTTTTTTATTAAAAGAACTCCACACCATAGACTATTTTTTATTTTTTTTTTGTTATTAGTTAATAGAATAGTTAATAAGAATCTTATATTATCTATGCGCCACACCTAGAGATCCAAACCCATTTATAATTGCCTCCGTTTTTCAAATGTACAAAATAGGTACTGAATTTTACGTTCACGATAGGTAGCCGGTAGCCGGTAGTTAATCCATATTCCATTTTACAATGTTCCTGTTCTTTTTAAAAATTAGAGTGAAATTTCCAAATAATAATACAATTTAAAGACCAGTTTATTTGATGGCGTTTTATTGATATTTCAAATTTGTCAACTTTGAGTTACATTGATATGCAAATGTATTTGTAATAATGTATTTTAATATTTAAATTTTAAACTGAAAAATACAATTTTTGGAAAAATTGAACATTTTGAAGTTTTTTTACCATAACTTCCAAATGAAGTTTGAGCGACTTTTTTCGAAAGTACCATCAAATTAAGCATGCAAGATAAAAAAATTTCAAAAATCATATTAAATCAGAATAACAAATTCTATGAAATAACTTTTTTCAGGCAGTATACTCAGGAATCAGGATAGTTTTTGGTTTTCTATCTTGAACCGTGATTCGATAAAATACTGCACTTTCTATCTAGAAATCTGTGTTCTCTGATTATTATTAATTATTATCACTACTATGTTATGATAACAGTATTCGTTTGTTGTCTGTGTCAAGGCGGCAAAATATTACAATATTCCATTAAGAGGATGTCACACCCGTATGTGTTGTCTCCGTCTTACAAATGTACAACATACCAAACACTGTTTGGCGCGGGACAACAATTGTCCGTCTGTGTTTGTAGTAGTGGCTCCAAAATTTCTGAACTTTTAGGGCGGAAAATTATTTACGCAACAGCTTGCCCATATATTAGATAACATAAATACAATAAAAGTTATTTGGTTCTAAACATTTGTTTTTTTTCAATTGCTTATAAAAAATGATTGGATAGTGCTATTATAAAAAAAAGCACACTGTTTCACAGATAAAGTTCTTCTTTACGTGTTGTGAAAATTTGGTAGTTCTACAACAAATATGATGCGAGAAAAGTTGTCCCGCGCAAAACAGTTTTTGCTATGTTGTACATTTGTAAGACGGAGACAACACTGGCGGGTGTGACATCCTCTTAATGATTACCCACCTGTAGTTCTCGTGGTTTAAAATATACAAGTCATGATAGTACCTAAAATTCCTAATGCGCATTGTGCATTGTAAACTGTGCACTCGACCGAGTTGACAGGTTGGCTTGCTAGTGGCTAGTGGTTGAGTCAACACTCGAAAGTTAATCGGTTTCGATAAAAATTACTATTAATTATCTTATTTATTGTTATTAAATTATACTCTAATAATTATGACTTTCGGCATTTCGATTGGATTTTATCTCACTGTACTCTGCCACTCAAACATTTAATATTTTGATAAATACGAATAAAACTTTATATAACAATATAGGCAGGTACCTAGTCACACTGAACTATTAACAAATGATAATTTAAATTGTTTTCATTACGTTATGAGTGAATACATGGGCAAGCAATTATTACGTTATAAGAAGTTTGTTATTAGTTATTAGTTCTAACTTATTTGTTTTCACCAATAAAGTGTAGCCTACAATAGTTAATTATTTCATTAAATATGTGCTCATCATAACTTTTCATCTATTAATTCAAATCGTTAAAATATGATTGTTTACCTATAATATAAGTATAATACTGTTAACACTTTAACTAACTGCATCATTGTGTAGTAAACATTATTATATATTGTGTATACATACATATTAGTGTATAAGTGAGAGTTAAATATTTATTATCTACTAACCTAACTCAAAGTGCCTTTTATACAAATTTAGTTTTATTTGTATTTGCATTTTAATCAATTACATTTATAATTATGGATCTAAAAAAAACAACTATAAAAGTGGGAATATTAACAAGTAAGATATATTCAGATGTTTTAATATTAATTCTATCTAAATTCATACTATTGAGCCTACTTTCAGTTAGTGACACAAGAACACCATCAAAATCTAATATTGACTCGTTCGACTCCAGTGGCCAAAATTTAATGAAATTGATCAATGATTCAAATGTGATTGAATCGGCTAAAGTAGTTCAGTATGATTGTGTCACTGATGATGTTGATAAAATTCAGGTATTGTTTTATATTATTTCTCCGACTATACTAGTTAAATTATAAAGGAAAATGTGGTAGACACCATATGTGGTCTACAATACATTTTCATATTACAGAATTAAAATTCAATAGTTTCAATACAAATTGTTATATTGTGTATTATATAAATTATTGTCTATGATTTCCATAGTTTTAATAATAATTCAATAGGTATTTTGTCTTATAAATTAATTATGATGATCATCTAAAATATCTTCAAATCATTATGAAAATAATTATGTGTATTCTTTCCCTGCTTGCTTCAATTAATTGTCAGTAGGTAGACAAAATAATGCTAATTAATATAATGACCAATACTGAGAAGTACAAGTCTACACATTTATACTTTTGTCAATAATTAATGTAGAACACATAATATACATTTGTATGTAGGTAGCTTATTGGTGGACAGCCAAAAATGTATTGAAATTTGTTTTGTTAAATACCTATATAATATTATTTACAATATTTTTTGTTACTAAATAGGTACCTTCTATTTTTATTATTAAATGCAATAATATTTATGCTGTATCTAACTTGGCACATACTTTTAATACATTTTTCATTAATATTTTTAAAAATGAATGTTGTTGTTAGGCAAAAATGACCGAATGGTGTTTGGAAAGAAAAGTGGATGTTTTGCTGACTACAGGTGGTACAGGTTTTAGTCCAAGAGATGTAACTCCTGAAGCAACTCTTGGACTTGTTCAAAAATTGACACCTGGTATAAGTCAAGCAATAATGAATGAGAGTTTAAAAATCACTCCAATGGCAATGCTTTCACGGTATAATAATATATAAGTAAAATTATTAAGGAAAAACAATAAAATTTATAAATTTATAAATTGGTTTTTTATTTTTAGAGCAGTGTCTGGAATATATGAAAAAACTCTGATTATTAATTTACCAGGAAGCAGTAAAGCAAGTAAAGAGTGTTTATGTGTTGTTGCTAGTGCCATACCTCATGCTGTTTCGTTAATTAAAGATGAAAAAGAAATTTCAAAACAATTTCATAAGCAATTAGATTCCACGACTAATAACGAATCAAGAATTCCAGTACGTTAAGATGACACTACATAGATATTTACTGTCTCCATCTTACAAGTGTGTAACCAGTTGAGCAAATAAGCAAATAAAAAAAAATCACCCAAAGCTCCCTCAAAAAATAATATATATTATAATTTTAAAAAAAATGTCGTGACTTGGGGGCATCCTTCCTATTTGCTCCACTATGCGTAACATAGAGAATGTAAGCTCAACAGATCATGTTTAGCTCCGTTAGTTTTATAATTTAAGTGAATTGACCTATTAATAAACTTGATGGTAAGAACATCATCTGTGTTTGTATGTGGGTTTTATACAATAATTCAGTTTTTAAGTGAGTTATGGGTATTTTTAATTTACGCTATATTATATAAGCTTAACTTGCTAAAAAATTGAACTATTGTAAAAAAACCCACATCCAACACAGATAATGTTCTTACCATTAAATTTCATAATAGGTCGATTCACTCTAATTTTTAAACTAACGAAGCTAAAGGTGATCATCTGAGCGTAAATTTGCCATGTTACACAGTTGTAAGATGGAGACAACAAATGGCTGTGTAGCATCATCTTTAATTACTGATTTTAATATTTTATTATCTAAATTATTTTATACTTTTTCTTAAATGGATGTCAGTGTTTTCTCTCTCTCTTACCCATGTACTACAAAGCTAATATGCTTTCAGTAGATTCATGCTGTTAGTTTTAACATAATATGGAAATTTACCTATTATCAAACTTAAAGGTAAGAATATTTTCTAGGTCATGTTATAGGCTTTTATTGAAATTCTTATTAAAAATTGAGTTAGCTATAACTTATAGTTATGTACATTTTTAAAAGCCCATAACTAGCTTTAAATAAGTGTCAATTCACTCTAATATTTAAAGCCAATTCTAACAACACAAATTTAGTTGTGCTGAACATAAAACTTGGTATGTTGCGTGTGAGTCAGAGAGAGAAAACAAACAATGTACAGAAATCCTCTTAAGGGGATGACACACCCATTTGTATTGTTTCCAGTTTTCAAACGTAAAAGATACAACATGGCACATTTTACGTTCACAATAATCTATTTTACTTTGTTTTTTTTTTTAAATTAGAGTTAATTGACTCGCTAAAAAATTAAAACTAAGATTATTATTCTGAAAAACTGTCAATTTTTAAATGATCATAATATGATAATATTTTAATGATATAAAAATAAATAAATAGCTTAAAAATGATGATATCAATAAAAGCCTTCAAGATGCCTGAATAATTATCTTATTAATTTTAAAAATCATAGAGTAAAATGGATTATTGTGAACTTAAAAATGTTTGTTCATGGTGTATGTATGTAAGACGGAGACAACATAATTTTGACATCCTCTTAATAGTAATAGTTTTAATTGGTAAATTATAAATAATAGTTATTGTCTTGAAGTTTTGATTTTAAACTGTTTTCTATTTAGGAATGTGTGACAAAAATAGCGTGTCGACACAGAGAATCACAATTTCCAAAAATTTCTATGAAATCAGCTTTAAGTATTTTAAAAGAACATGCTGTCTTACAATATACGGAAAATAATAAAATTAAGTTAGTTCTATATAAACATCTTTTATTACTTAGAATTTTATTATGAATGAGTTGATTTATTTTTTTAAATATATGTTCTTATTCTTAGTATTCATTATTGCATATTATGTAAAACAATAGTACATTTACGTAAAATTTATTAGGTACCCTTCTATTTGGATTTTTTCTACTGGTGATGAACTTGAAAGCAATAAAGATTCACATGGTGGTTATATCAGAGACACTAATTCTGTTATGATACAACAAATATTGGAACAAGACAACTATAAGGGACGCATATTCAATTATGGAATTATAAGAGACAAGTGTGTAATTGTAAATATGTGTAATGCACCTATATTTTTATGTTAATAAAATTATTTTGTTTTATTAAGTTGGAATGATCTTTGCAAACATTTTGAAGAAGCTTTTAACAATGCGGATGTAATAATAACGAGTGGAGGTGTATCGATGGGAGAAAAAGATTTGATTAAACATGTTCTCAAAGAACACTTTAAAAGTAAAATTCATTTTGGAAGAGTCAATATGAAACCTGGGTAATTATCTTAACAATTAGCTACCTATATGGTTGTATGTTTAAGATGAACAAATAATGACACTAGTATTACAGAATGCCAACTACCTTTGTGACGCTTATTTTTAAAGACAAAAAAAAATATATATTTTGTTTGCCTGGTAATCCTGTGTCTGCTGGTGTATGTACACATTTATTCTTATTACCATATTTGAGATCAGTTTCTGGAAAAAAATTAATTATCCATTCTTTAAAAGCAAAGGTAAATAATAAGTATTTACTATTTAGTATAATAGTGCATATTCATATTTTATAATAATTTATTATAATACCGTTACACATGCATTTACAGCTAACACATTCTATCAAAGGATTGGATATTAGACCAGAATATCGAAGATCACTGCTAAAATATGAAAATGGAGAACTATACGTGTCTTGTTTAAGTAATTATTAGTTTTGTTAACTAATTACATTTATTAAGTATTGAGCAAATAGGATATCTTAAACTTAAAGTAGTATTAAGATTTAAAACTCATAGCATTGTCGAGTTATGTTTCAACTTTAGGTTAGAATAAGCATTACATTTGTATTCTATTTGATTACTATAACTTGAATTTCAAAGGAATAGCTTTATTAGAATGTTGGACAATTATTTATATACAAATATTTTTAGTTAAAGGCAAATATATTTTTGCTTATTTAAAAAAAAATCATATTTGACTATATTTTATATTGCCATACAGTTCTATTGATACTTATTACCTGAGACCGGATTTATATGCGCTTAAAATCTTGAAAATAAGATGCTTCTATGCTCTATAATTTCATCAAAATAATCTTTTATGTGCAAAAATATTCTTTTTAACAAAAATGTACTAAACACTGAAAAAACAAATAAAAGCAACAATTTATAAACAGTTATATTTAATCAGTTAATCTATAATATGGTTATATACTGCCATACTGGTGTACCTATTTTTAACTGTTGTAATACAAACTTATGAATTTAAAAAATAATAATACTAAAATAAAACTAACAGAATATTATTATGTATTCAAACTTAAATAATTCAACCTTACAAACTCAAAAAATAATATTAATAACAAGTTTTCAATAATAAAAATAAAAAAATTTATTAGATTTTTATAAAATATTCAAATTTGAACCCAATATGGCAATATATTCCTAAAACATGTTTTTACACAAAACATTCTTTAACCTTAAAATATTCTTTTTTTATGAGGTAAAAAATGTTGTATATCAGTTCATAGGTAAATGAATTGTCGGGAAAGCTTACCCAATTGGAGCTGCATACTCTCTTTAAAGATATGTAAAAACATAAAAATCCGGTCTCTACTTATTACATATATTATGCATTTTTCACTTAATTACAAGTGTATTAAAAGTATAACATTTTGCTCAATTAAAGCTGTTGACATGTTAACCAGTTCAATATGTCATAAGACTCATCCCTATTCAGTTCAAATAAATTGAATAGTCTATAAGCATACTCTCAAAACAAAATTTTTAATAATATACATACTAGTAATATTAAATAACATTTTTATAATTGTTTATATTATGTTTTATAGCCAACTATCAACAAAGTAGCAGACTTTTGAGTTTTATAGATTCTAACTGTTTACTTCAACTGCCTTCATCATCAAAACAAGCAAACGTTGAATCAAATACAATTATGGATGTTATACTAATTAAAAGTATAGAAAATACATATATTGCACCTATATTAAAAGAAATGAACTTATGTATCGAGGTAGATAACTTATTATTCTGATTATTATTTGTAGTATTTGATGATTGTATTTAATTATTTATATATTAAATTATTAACTATCTAAACCCAATATAACAGTTAATAAATAATAATAATAATTTTAATATTTTATAGGTACAGAACATAACATTTTGAATATTAGTGCACTTAGTTTAGGGTAGTATACAACTTTGACTCTTTTGCCCTATGTGTTAATTATATTGCCAGATATAAATTAATGTATTATTGTAATACAGTTAACATTTTTAATACTGTAAATAGAATTCAGGTTTTAAAATAAAATAAATAGTAAAAAAGCATTTAGTGTAATTTAAAGTAGGTAGTCAATGAATAAAATATGCAATTTATTAATACTATCACACATTCACTGTCCGATGATAGGCGTTGGACCCATATGTGACTCATTTATTATTTATCATGAAACTGCCGCACATATTGACAATCGTTTAGAGGCAAAGGAAGTAGCTCATTAAAATAAGTGTAAATCAGAAATATTCTAAGGATTAAGTGTTTTTTTTTTATGGAAAAAATTTTAATCCGAATGATTAATTCATAACTCTGACTGATGTTGGTAGCTTATTTTATACCTTTATTAAAATATATGGTATTGTTAGTTATGTCTCAGCTATTTATACTGTATTGAATATGGGAGCACGTAGCAACCATATAAGTCCCAAATTAAAATATATATCACTATAAAGCTTATAATTTTAACATTCATAATGTGTAATAAAAAATGATATTCTGTAAAATCAATTACAATTAATTTAAATTTAAATAAATGATTAACAATCAGTGCGAGCCCCATAGTGGGCTGGTTACTTTTGATTTGATTTAACACTAGGGAAGGGTTTGTGTTAACTAAAAACATAAAAAATAATATATCCCATAATATAATAATATTGTTTTATGATGTAGAACTAAGATTGACATGCAATTATTTTTTTATATGGAAATGAACATTATAATACCTCTCAAAATTAATAATAATAATAATTTTAAAAAACATTTCCTACAAAATACTTTGTTTAATATTATATAAGTTTTATTTGTTGTTATAATTTATTTAGATAATGAAAAAAGAAGTTATTACAGGCAATACAAAAATTGAACAACCACTTCTCTATTCATGTATAGAAGATGTACTGCATTTAATGACAGAAAATATATTTGTAGCTAAAACTGAAATTATACCTACTAGGTAAATTGACCATTACTTATTGTTATTTAATTTATTAGATATTAGTAATTCAAACATATTGTTGGTTAATACAATAAATAATGATATCATTTTCAGTTCTGCTATGGGTTATGTTTCGTATTCGACTATTAATTCTTCTGAAAATTTACCACCGTTTCAAGCTTCTATAAAAGATGGATATGCTATTAAGTACGGAAATTATTGGTTTCAAAAGTCTAATATATTTAATGTCGTACAAGTGTCTGTGGCTGGTACAGTTGTAAGTATATATTTAACTTTCGATATACTCAATACTGCGTAAACATGGTATATTATATAAAAGACGTTGGTCTGGTGTTGCACGGTGGTTTTCCGCAGTCCCTAACATTTCTGAAGTTAAGCATCGACCAACCTACCCCTCCCCCACAGTAAAAACCGGCTAATAACCATGTTCTTGATGCCTTAAAAATAATAATAATAATATATATATATATATATAAAAGACTGTATATCACTGTGTGCTATATTTCTTTAATTATAATTAAGGTTATAACCTTTTATAGCCTGGTTGTCAAAAAGAGCTAGGAGAAGGAGAATGTGCACGTATTAGTACTGGTGCACCTATACCACCTGGAGCCAATTGTGTAGTACAAGTTGAAGATACATCTGTTGAAACTAAATCATCTGATGGAAAAGTTGAAATAACTATTGCTATATTAAAAGAACCTAAACTCTTTGAAAATATTAGGTAAGTTAAATTCAGTATTATTTTTTATACAGCACTCACATTATAAACATGCATTAATGTATTAATATTTCAAATTGTTGAGTACATATTTTAATTTCCTTTATAAGCCAAATAAAATGAACATAATCCAGTACACTATAATACAGTAAAACCTTGGAATAACGGAATCACCCAGTGACAACTGATTTTTTGTTATAAAGGAGTTTTGGTTATAGGGAGACTAAAATACATGGGACTCTTGTTATTTTCCTTTGTAAAGAGGCTTCCGCGTTATAAGGGAACCATTTTAAGAATGTTGCACTTATGTACTGTATTTCTTTTTTGGATTTATTATTAAAAATAATATAATATTTTTATTCTTTTAGAAGTATTGGTTCTGATATATCTATAGGACAACGTCTTCTAGATCGGAAAACTATTCTTGGTCCCTTTGAAATAGCTTTGCTACGCTCTGTTGGTTGTGAAGACGTGGAGGTATATGTGTAAGTTATAATACAAAATAATGTACAGTGCACACTTAAGGTATTTAACTCAAAATATTTTGAATAGATGTCCATCAATACACATTATTCCATGTAATGATAATTCGGCCTATGCAATATCTCATAAATTAAAAAATATGTTGGATGTGTCTGACTTTAAAGGAAACATATTTAGTCACTCATTACGTAAAAAGTTAGTTAATATTTTAGAACTGTTTTGTAAAGTTCTTAATTGAAATTTAAAAATTGTTTACCCACAGCTTAACCAATTTCACTGAACAATTTGATTGTGTATATGATGAATGGTAATCCTATTATTATATTTTGTGGAAATGTAAATGAATTTTGTACTGTTGAATCACATATTCATATTACTAACAATACACGCAAGTAAATATAAAAATTAATTTAATTAATTATATTAATACATTTGAAAAGTGTTGATAATGCATAAATATTAATTATAAATGTAAATTATCCTACAGGATTTCACTTGGATTTGGTAGAATGTTTGTAGGATATGAGGAGAAATCAGTAGTGTTTTTACACATTAATACCTGTGACTCGGAGTCTATCTATAACTGTGTACATCTATTTATAATGCCTTTTTTGAGATTTATTACTGGCAGAAAAAAAATTATTTCTTCAATAAAAACAAAAGTAATTGTTTAAATTCATCAATATCAGTTTTCATTGAAATAAAATATCTAATATATGTTTTTCAGTGTAATTTAACTTCAGATTATTTACCTACAGACAAGTTTGAAAAAGCCGAACTTCATTACGAAAACGGTGATTTCAAGGTTGCTTGTTTCACGAGTAAGTTTAATGATTACATATTATAATATTTTGTTTAAAATTAGTTTGTGTTAATTACTATTAAATATATTTATTATCATGATTATTTTATAAGTATGTTTAATTGAGACACTCATAATTTAAGATCTTAAATTAAGTTTCTCTTGACTGTTCTTTAGTCAAATCATTTTTTGTTCAGGTAGGTAGCTTATTGCAGTGTTTGAAAAGTTACTTTTTTGTAATTAAATTTGCATTGCGAATTTTCTTTAAAAATTGTATTCATAAGTTACTTTTTTTTTATTTGGTCAAATTACATTTCTTTTGAGTTAAAACTAACTTCATTACAATAAAAGTTTATATTGATTTAATTTATAATATTTGAAAATCATTAGAGCTTAATAATTATGTTGTCAATGCATTAACTATAAGTTAGCAACATTAACAACAATCAACAATATGATGAAACTATATAAGATTTGTATTATATAAACATTTAAAATACAATAATTGTTCAACGTATTATTCTTTATTTTTTAAATTTATTTTAAATAATATGCATATTTTAAATTATTACTTTTATTGAAAATAACATTTTTTTCCAAATAGTTATTACAAATATGTTACTGTCAAAAAATTAAACTTATATGATGTATTTACATTTTACATAATATAATATCAATTGGTTCTTAAAATGTTTTAAAATAATAAAGGAACTAGTAATTTAGTAATTTTACTACAAAAAAGTAACTTAAATTACTTACAATAAATTGTAATTAAATTACCATCAAATTGCATAAACAGCAATTTTGTTACAGTTACTTGTCACATTAGTTAAGTTATTTCCCAATAGTGAATCATAGTTACATAATTTGTGTTACAGTAATGTTTATTAATCACCTTAATAACTTTTACTTTTATTTCAGTGAACCATCAAAGTTGCCTTGTAAATATGCCATCTTCGTTGGATCAAAATAATATTAAGTGGAAAGAGGGAAGAAAAACTGAATTAGATGCAATTGTCACTGAAAATTCTGATTATTATTTTATCCATTACTAATTTTTATTTAAAAATGTCATAACTTAAAATGTGTAATTTACTTATTGAAATAGTTTTAAATGATTGATCTATATACCTACTTATATATCATAATATATTTTGTTGTAAAATAGATCCTGACATTATGTATAATACATAATACATACTATAAAATATTAATTATACAGCATGCTAGATTACAAGTTTATATATATTTTTAATGTGAAATTATGGATGAGACTAAATATTGTTGGTTGTGTTTTAGTAAGTGTATACAACCTCTAAATCCCTAGCTAGTTGATTGAGGTAAATAAAGTAGATTAATTTGAAGATTATAACCTAATCAGTGACTGATAAAAACGGTCCCTATTCTTAACCTAATTATTACTAATAAACTTCAAAATTGCCCTCTTAATTTCACAGATTTTGCCATAAACACTCGCAAGTGTTGTTTTGTAATTGTTGTAATGTATATTGTTCTCCAACAAAAAAAAAAAAAACAAATTCCAAAACTAGAGTAATTATTAGGAAACACTCTAAAACCCTTATGAGAATAACATAAGAATAATTTGTATTATTCTTGGGTTAATTTGAGGTATCAAACTTACTTAGATCCTCATATAACCAAAACCAAAAGTATCATTATCATAAAACATTCAAGTAATGCTGAATGGGGTACAAAAAGTTATACTTTAATCAACTTATACAGACTTATTTACTTACTTAGATGTCTTGTTAGATCTAAATTAGACTATGAGTCTGTACTCTATTTGTTATTGCAATGCTGACCCGAATATTTTAGAACAATTGATATACTTCATAATAGTGTTTAAGATTTGCAACCAGAGCAAGTCAAAGAAACCCAATTGCAACCATTTTATTCATTTCTTCACATTTGTAGTATTAAATTGTCTCTAATAATTGCATACCTACCTCATATTATCTTATCTACTCCAGAGAATTCAAAATTGATGTATTAAAATGGACATAGCCGTTTGAATTTTGGGACAATTAGACGGTAAAAAAACTAAATATTAAATTAATCAATACAACTATCAGTAGAAAAAATTAAAACACAATATCGAAAAAAAAAAAAATATATTTATTTTAATATAGATACCTAATAGTATAATAGCAGTATTAAAATATATTTAAAGAAAAATGAAAAAAAAATGAATAATTTAAAATTAATTGAAATTAAATTAAAATATTCTTGGGTGATTCTACGTAACAGTTATGTTTTAGTTCGGGTTTATATATAAATTATAAAATCAATGATGTTCATAATAGTAATACAACTATGATGGTATCGTATAATACATTGGTTTTCAAGCTTTTATTAAACAAAGCACACTGTGCTCTTTAAAAAATGTTCACTGCACAATGAACTTTTTTTTGTTGCACTAAATAATTAGATGAACAAAATTGTTTTGAATTATTATTATACACATTTTAATTAAAATTGTACTAATAATAATAACTGTTTTTGTTATTGTATTTTAATCATTAATTTTTACAACCTATATTTTTATTGATTGATTTATTATATTATTTTTTACATCTTATTGTCCCCTGTCCTCACGTCCAAATGGGAAATGGCTACATCCAAACGGCTTAAGTCCCTATGTAATATGTACACCAGGCTGGCATGCCATTGTGGAATTGATAGCAACTAGAAAGCCGACAAACTTTAAGTAACAGCTCATCAAACAGTCAAAAATCCCATAATAGAAATACGCTCCTATTCCTCACTTTTTAAAACTAATTAATGGGGTTGGATACCAACCGTTTTTAAGGAGTTCAGACAATTTTTTATGTGTGTACATGATGAGGGTCATGTAAATGAGTACATAATATGTGATTATTAGTGTGAGTGACTGTGTTTAAAATAAATAGCAGAGCACTTTCGCACGTGAACGTACGTGTCAACAATACAAAAATACAATATTGATAATAGGTGTTTTTACTTTTAAACAGCTCAATAAACGATATTATTGGAAATACAAAAATTAATTTTCATAGCATTTTTCCCTTATTATTGATACCCCAGCTTGTGAATTGTGATGCGAGCATGAGTATGCTTTTATAAAAATATGTCTACGATTACGAATGTGGGTGTAGGGTGCAATTTTCGTAGGCACAAGGCACCACAGATGACAGATATCTATATTATTATAATTATTATTTATTATAAATATCTGCGGTAAGCGCACAGAGTACTCTACGGGTAAGCGATGCCGACGTGTTATCACTTATCACTTACCTACTACTCCACTGCATCACACAACGGCAGCTGCAATTGCCTTGGCTAGGGCTCTACAGATTATATTACGTAGAGCCTTACCTTGGCCAGTGGTGGCGTGGAGCGTCTGTGGATTACACAATACTCATTCGCATCACCACGACGACCTGTTGTTGGGGCGGCTAACCACGACAGCGCATTCTCACAGCAGTGGGCCACGACGCACCGTCCATGCGACATTTGTGTCACACCGTACAAACGTAGAACAGACGTCGGGTCGGTCGTACGGCGGTCTGGACCGTTTACACCGAGTTACCGAGATAACGGTCAACGAAGGAAGCCGCTGTGACTGCGATTTTTTTCTCCGGTGCACCAAGCATAGACCGAGGTTGTAAATGTGTGATTGTCGTATAGTTTCACTTCTTTTTCGCCGCTGACACTCTGTACCAAATCTCCAACGGCACCTCAAGTCGGATTGAAATAGCTACACCAACGGCAGTGACGTAAAAGTTTTTTTTGTATGGTAATGATAGATCCTGTCCGTACGCTCTGACATTCCAGTCGATACCGAGACGACACCTTTTTGTCTGACGTGATCTGAAGTGGCCGTCATGCCCAAGTCGCTAAAACTCGAAAGATGTCTGCCGTCGACATCGTCTGCGTCTGGCGTGCTGTTGCCCGACCACTATGTCGAAAACGATCCAATCATACAAACGATTCTTGAATTCAAGGCATCAGAATGCAAACTGTCCAGGCACGAGAAACTGGTGAAGCTATCCAGTAAATCCTCCTGTCAGGTAATATAGCTCACCACATGTCAAACCAAGTCGGTAGCCCTTCTAAATTGTTTTCATCAGAAGCTTTGCTCTATCGTCTTTTAATTTCTTTCCTAGATATTAGAGCGAACTAAACGCTTATGTTTTAGACTTAATTCATCTTCATTTTGATTGATAAAACAGTCTAGTCCATCAAACATTTTTTCATACACATAAATATTTATTTATAATATTTTAGTTTTATTTCAGCCTTATTTATTCCTTCTATAATATCTACTTCTGAAATTGTGTATAGGTATATGAATTAATTAGAATTAGAAATGATAAAAAATGTATGTTGGTGCTTATTCAATTATTGTACTATGTCAACGAGTTAAAGTTTCTCGAAAAGTAGATTATTCTATATTACATTTTATTTTATTTTTAGGTTTCAACTTGCCAATGTAGTGGATGGCGAGGTAGGCGTGATAATCGTATGATGTCTTCAACTTGCACAAAATCTGGTTGTAGTCATCCTCTATGTGAGTAAAAGTTTAAAAATTAACTACCTAGTTAAAGTATACTTAGTTTAGTTATTGCGATTTTGACTATATGTACCTAAGAAAAATGTAGGTGCCTTATAATGAAAATGTTATTCAAATTGGGCACTCCCTAAACATTTTAAG